CCATTAGTATTAATCCAACAGATTCCCTTTCATGCACACATACATGTGCACGCACACACACAGCATGCTTATCACACACCTCTCTGATTAGGATTTGGCTTCTCACATAGATTTGCCTATGGAAAAAATTTGTTGTTCAGCAAACATGTAACATATGTAATGAACTTGAGAGATATTTTTCATTATAAATGAATACATTTGAATGCCAGTTTTTATTCATTTCTGACAGCATTATCTTGGCCATGGAGACATTTATTCCTGAGACACTGGAAATGAATTTCCTGAACTTGACTAATGAGGATCAGACCCTAAACCATAAATTCCATCAAGGTGATGACACCCTAACTAACCTACCAACTTCCTCTCATACTTTCCCCTGGATTTTACCCCATCTTGGTGGCAAGCACAAATTTATTTTTCTTCAAATGGCAATGGCTAATATCTACAGGCAATGTCCCCTTTCTGAACACACTCTTTTTTTTTTTTTCTTTTAATATCTCCTCGAAATAAAACTTCTCTGGGAAGGATCTGAAAAAACCTTCAACATTAAGACGAGCAACCAATACAGCTAAACAGCTTCATCTTGGGGAGTATTTTAATTTTAACATATATTTTAATAAATCTCTAATTGGCTTAAATCAAAGGCATCAAGCCTTGATTTTAGAATCTCAGAATTCACTGAGCTGAGTACAAGGAGTATTTTTCAGAGGAAGGAGGTAGGAAAATCATGCAAACAGATGCTTTTTTTTAAGCTACTCTTTAAGTTGGCACTCATATAAAGACACGTTCAATCCAACACAGTTCTTGACTGTCCCTTGCCAGACCATAACTGATCTCCTTTCACCTAGGCCACAGAGAAGCACCGTGGGGGAGGCCACAGGGCACCTATACATCGTATAACAGCCTCCTTTGTAAGGCTAAACAAATATTTGCCTCCGGAGCTGAGTCATGGAGCTGGGTTTTACACATATATTCATGTGCATCCGCACCGCTGCTGCTCCTGGTGGTGGCTGTGCCAACATCCCGGCTGGACCCCTTGGCCTGAAGCAAGCAAGATGCAGTGGCAGCCCCAGTGTGTCTTAGAAGCCTGATGTCCCCAGGCACCTACTGTGAGCTTTCACAGCCAGAGACAGGTGTGCAGAACTGGAACCCCAGTTCTGAACAGGGCCCCTTCTTCCTCCAGCTTCTAAATTCAGAGAACATCAACCTCTTCCCTTTATTCCCCAGCCTTAGGGATGGTTACTTCCTGCAAACTCCTCCAGGGAGTTTGCCTGGGTAAGATTCTAGATGTTTTCAATATTCAACCCATAGGCAAGAAATTATGTCCAACTCTTATTCATATCTTTGAAAACTGGATAGAAGGCATATCCCAAAGCATGTATGAAATGAAAATCTCAAGTAAGATTTAATAATAAGCCAAGGTTTAAAATGCATTTAATGGGAAATTATTTGAGGGAAGTAAAAGGGGCCTGTATTGAGAGATGGGGACTCTTCTCTGGCCCAGGTTTGCCACTCACCATCCATGAACTTGAGCAGTTGGCTAAATCTTTTCAAACTACTATCTCCTTGTGTGCATGACAGTAGGGTCTGGAGATTTTTTTAAAAGTGTTAATGATGAATGCTATCTGTATTCATTTGCTAAGATGGTCATAGCAAAGTGCTACAAACCAGGTGGCTTAAAGAAAGGAATTTATTGTTTCACAGTTCTGGAGGCTAGAAGTCTGCGATAGAGGTGTCAGCAGGGCTGATTCCTTTTGAGGGCTGGCTGTAAGGGAACAATCTGTTTCATGTCTCTTACCTAGCTTCTGGTGGTTTCTTGGAAACCTTTAGAGTTCCTTGGCTCATAAATGTGTTACCCTGATCCCCGCCTTCAGTTTTACATGGTGAGCTCCCTGTGTGTGTCTTTGTCCACACTTCTCCTTTTTAAAAGAACACAGACATATTGAATGAGGGCCCATTTTAATGAATTCATCTTAATGTGATCATCTATACAGGCCTGTTAAAAAGTAAACTGAGGCACAATAAAATTTGAAAGAGTTTACTTGAGCAAACAGCAATTTATATATCAGACAGCTCCAAACCAGAAGTGGATTAGGAGCTTGATCATGGGAGCAAAGGGGGAGGCTTTTATTGTACAAACACAGAAATAAAGCGAAGAAAATATTCAATTGGTTCCAGTCATACAGTTGCCTTATTTGGTCCGTCCCATTGGAAAGTCCCTAGTCATATAATTATGAGTCTGTTGGCTGATTCCGATTGGTTGAGCTTAAGTTCTGTTCTTCCCTAATATAAGCATTCAAAAGAAATAGCTCAAGTTAAATTTTGCTTATGTTTGGAAATCAAGCAAGGTTAAGGTCACTTAGGAGGCCTAACTGGCTTTGCCTGCTCAGGGATTCTTCAGGCCTGGTCTCCGCTTTAATTTACTTTAACAGACCCATTTTCCAAATAAGGTCATACTCACAGGCACTAGGAGTTAGGACCTCAGTATCTTTTGGGGGGATGCAATTCAACCTCTAACACTCTTGTGACATTCTCATGGGCACTATCAGGCTGGCCTTGTTCTCTCTGCCATCAGCCTGGTACTGATGTCTCCCTGCTTCTCTGTAGGAAGAGAGGAAAACACAGACATGGAGGGTAGATGGAGTCTGACCCTGATGATCCCTTTTCAATTGTGTGACACTAGACAAGTCACTGTACCTCTTTCAGCTTCTCTTTCCTCATCTATGAGGTGGGGATGATAGGTTTGTTGAGACAAGTCAGTGAGGAACAGCAGAGAAGCACTCAGCTGGCACTTGGGAAGTGCTCAACAAGTTATAGATGTTACTATTATCATTATTATTATGAACTCCTTTTGAGTCAAGGAGATGGGAAGTTGGTGATTCCTAACCCTGGCTGCACATTAGAATCATCTGGGGGAACTTTTTTAAAACTATTGGTGCCCAGGCCACCCTAGAGATTCTGACTCAATTGCTCTGGGATGGGATCCAGACACTGATATTCTTAGAAACTCCCTGGTTTATTTTAATATGTAGCCAGGGTTGAGAACCACTAGAATAGATGACAGGACTAAAAACACTAATGGAAAGTCTCATGCGGTTGCAAGTCAGAGGTTGATTTGTAGTTACTTAGCCAGATAGACCATGTGGTGGGAGACGCCGGATGGCAAAAGCCAGAGACAGCTCTTAGAGAACTCAAGAATTAGGTGACCTAGTTTGCAGAGCCATTTCTTGCTTTGTGGTCTCCCTCTGACATGTTTTCCAGGCTTCCCTGGTGGAGAAGCATCCCCTTGAGACGCTGCCCTGGGCCTTCCTTTGCACAGCAAAGCTCTACAGCAAAGCACTTGCTTGCCCGCCAGACCCAGGTGCTATCCTCCCTGTCTCCAGCTCCAGGTCTGTGAAAAGTCAGTGACAGTTGATGTTGGATGACAGCTGGACATGCTACACTTCCGAGGGCCATCTGCCTTTTAGCAGCACTCATCACAGAACCCAAAGACTCCTCCAGTGAGGAAATCATAGATATCCCAGGGTTGCCTCATGGAATAACTGGATGGAAGAGCTTTATACACCCTCCAGGTGGGAACTGCCTGCTTTGACTAGGCCTGACTCCCAAGGCCCCTGCACTTGTGACCTGGAGCACTTGTATTCCACAGACTAACTCCCTCCCTCCATCCATCCCCAGAACTGAACCCTTTCTGTGTATAAGTGTGGGCTGTGGAGGCAGCTGTTCTGGGGGGCATGGCCAGGCCAGCTTCTGCCGGTTCTCAGGCCCCGGAGCTGAGGATGAGGGCAGCTGCCAGCACCAGCACGCCTGCCTCCTCCTCTCTTCCCCCAGCTGCTCTGTCTCTTCATCAGCAGGCATGGCTGTTCCTAGCTCTGGCTTTTTACAGTGCCACCCTTGTCCACGTAGCATCAGACACCTGTCACTCATCCTCTTTACGGTCCCAGGATCTCTCCAAGCCTCATGGGAGAGGGCCAGTGACATTTCGTTAAGTGAATGAATGAGTAATAGTAAATAAAATCATATGTAAAAGGGGGATTTTTAATGACAAAGCTATATAAATTCTATTTGTTATCCGGAAGAGGTTAGGAATGTCCATTTGCTCTTTAGCTAAATTAATAAAAATAGCAACCAGAATAAAGGAAATGATAATTCTCTCCATCCTGGTATATTTGGAATAGTGTGTTTGATTTGGTGTTTTCCATTTCTTCTATTTTAATCAAGAATATGGCAGAAGGAAGAGTAGCCAGAGACAACCTTTTTGTAACACAAAGCAGGCTGTTGTATCCTCATCTGTCAGTAAGTGACCTGGATAAATGTGATTAACTTTGGGTTTTGGAAGCCCAGGGGGAACGGAAATAAAGCCTCGGATGGGGAAATACCTTTGCTAAACCCAGAGCCTCTGCTCCTGAATTCAGTTCAATGTTTTGTCGTCAACCAACCGCCTTGTGCTGCTGGTACCCGAAGGGGAAATGACTTGAAGTGGGCCAAGGTGGGGGAGCACTAACTACAACCAGAGAGCCAGCGCTCCCCCGTGCCCCGAAAGGCTTCCCGCTGCCATTGCAGAGGGAGCTGATGTAGTTAAGCCGGAATTTCCTGGCAAGCGCAGGGGTAGGTTTTTCCAAAAGGCATTTTAGACCGCGAATGCACAGCCTTTCCGTGTCTAATCACGACAGCAAAGCACTGGACACATGCTCTCTGTTTCCAGCTGGTTGTGTATGTTTTCTTCACACTTCAACAAAAAACGTGCCAAGGTGTGACACTGATGCACCCGGCCAACTGGGAGCCGCGCGCACCATCGCGTCTGGCCTGTGGCTGGGGAAGTGATGAATGGGGGCTGTTCTTCCTGGGGAGGAGGGCTGCTGTCTCTCTGGCGTGCCTGCAGCCTTATTTATTACACACCGAGGTATAAAACCACCCGCCTGCCGCTGTGCTCTCCAGCCTGGCACTCGCCCGGAGCCCCGCCGTCTGCTGCAGGAGGCTCTGGGGCTCTGCTGAGAATCATGCTCGGGAGGCAGCTCGTCTGTGGGCACCTGCTGGCTTTGCTTTTCCTCCCATTTTGCCTGTGTCAAGATGAATACATGGAGGTGAGCGGAAGAGCTAATACAGTGGTGGCGAGAATAGTGCAAAGCCACCAGCAGACTGGCCGTAGCGGCTCCAGGAGGGAGAAAGTGAGAGAGCGGAGCCATCCTAAAACTGGGACTGTGGATAATTACACTTCTACAGACCTAAAACCCCTGAGACCAGATGAGCTACCGCACCCCGAGGTAGATGACCTAGCCCAGATCACCCCGGTCTGGGGCCAGGTACTCAGAATTCTCTTCTAAGGATTTCTGTGAAAGTTTAATGAGTTTTGTGTATTTTTTGTTTGTTCGTCTGTGTTTGTCTGGCTCAGATTCTTAGGATCAATGTTTTCGAGAACTTTGCTAAGCTGCTTGTGGGTGTCTTTGTGGGTTGCTCTGGGATACAAGAGGGACTGCCAGTCTCTTAGCAGATCAGCAGAGGTAGCAACGACGTGCTGGCAGAAGCATCGCCCATCAGCAAGGGGAGCCCGGGCAACCGGCTTCCTGCTGTGTTGGGACTTCATTTCTTTCTTGCTCTGTTGGTGCAGAAAGGAGTGCGGACCTTAGCAGATAAACGGATGCTGTAGATAATCATCGCTGATCCCAAGAACGGTGGACTTTCTTAATCCTTCCCAGCAGGCAGAAGCTGCTCTTTGAGTTTGTCAAAAGCAAAGTTTTCTTACTTTGATTTGTGAGTTTACTGTGACATTTTGTGCCAGTATTGGCTATTTGATTTACAGCATTCTAGGTTGCTAAAGCCTCTATGCTCAGCCTGTTCTAAAAAAAAAAAAAAAAAAAAATCAAAGAGTTAAAACAACAAAAAGACAAAGTTTGTATTTAAAATGCAGACGTTGTAGCATGATTTGATGCCTGATCTTCACAGAGGACTTGATTTCTTTCTCGGGGTATAAGGTCAGCATCTAAGGAAACATCTTTAACTCTTTTAGGATAGTGTGGGAGTGAGTTAAGATTTCAGTGTAGTGAATGGCAGATTGGTGAAACTCAATTTGATTTTAAACATTAAGAACAGAAAGAAAAAATATTTTGACTTACCTTTCAGGTATCTGGCATGCTGAAAACAGATAGAAGGATTAAAGAAGACTTACTTTGAATTATATGATCTTTAATAAATAAGTTTTACTACAAGAATTGATGAAATGTAGCAGTAAATAGGCCCTGAAAATTTTCATGTGGTTGAAATTGAAACCCCTACTACCACCAATGGAGAAGTCTGGGTTGATTATCTAGATATATGATCAGACTGAGACCACGTACAGAATCAGCTGCAGGTCTAGGACCAACCTAAGACTTTTAACTCAACCAGATGATGCAGTTGCCCAAATGGTTCTGTGAGGCTGAGTGAAGAGAAAATTGCTTTTTAAGGAGTCACAGAAGAAATGATAACCTCTAAACAGGATCTTATTTTTTGAAAGCCACTTTTAGAGATTGTTCTTTCCTCTGACAATCTTTTGGCTGAAGGTTGATGAATGCTAATTTGTGTTTTCTTTAGTGGTGAAGGTATGCTCACTTTTGGCCAAGTCTGCATCTGGACTTTCCATTTCAATAGATGGTGCCCTTTCTGGCTGTATCAGCCCCAGAGGCAGCAGAAGGCAGTATTCCAGCTGGCCACCAAAATCCATTTCTACACTTCTAATTCATCCCACCTTCTAGTCCTTCCTGGTTTTCTGAAATATTTTCAAATAATAAACTCCCAACAGGAGATACTGAGGAGATTTAAAGTCATAGATATTTTGGAAGTTTCAATACAACTCCTCTACCGATGGATATGGAGACATAAATTGAATTTTGGATCGTACTATGTTTTTCCTTATTTCTGTACCTTCCCACCCCTCTTCTTACGTTTTAATTCTCCTTCCCCCTCATTCATTCCTTCCCTGAGCATTTCCTGTGCTTTTACTTTGTGCTAAACTTTAGGATGGAAACTGAGGATATGATGAGAAACATGCCCAAGCTCCTATCTCTAAACTGTCCTGAAGGGCTCTAGTGGGGATACATTTTTAATTAACTTAAATTAATTAATTAAATTACGTCTAATTAAATACCATGTGATAAACAAGATCAATATACAAAAGGCCATTGGGAAAAAGTGTCAGAATGGTGGTGGTCCCTGAGTTGAATCTCAAAAGATGGAGGACAAAAAGGAAGGCTATTCACAGCAGAGTTTTCCTTTCCTTTTTTCTTTTTTTAAATGTGCCACAGCTAAGAGACTTGAGGGAGTCTGTGAGGAGTTGGACATAGCTGGAGCTCGAGCCAGGAGAAGACATCAAACGATTTTAGAGCCAGGCTGTGAAGGCTTCTTCTGTTAGTTGGTTAAGGAGCTTAGTTAGACTTCGCTTTGCTGGCAAAAGCTTTGTTTGTTCACAGCAGGGCAGTGAGTTAATCAGATGTGTGTTTAGTAAGATAGCGCTGGCTGTAGGGTTCATGGAGGGTTAGGGTGGGCAGAGATCTGGAGTGGGCAGACCTTTACTGTCTTTTCCTGGAATTTTCTTCTCTGTAGACTCTTTGTCATTCACTGTTATCAAGCTCCCCTCCTCCCCATGGACACCCATTTCTCCCTCCTCCCACTTCCTTTTTTCTTCTTTCTCTTCCCTCTTCTTTAGGTTACTATGAACTCTCTCTCCTAGAAATCACTTAGTAATAATAGTAGAGCTCAAATCTGAGTTGCTGACCCTAGACCTCCATCTACAAAATTCAGGGACCTGGTCTTAGGGACAAATTTGGTTTGATTTTGGGAAAGGGGCTTATAAACTCAAGAGGGTCACAGACAGCAACTACCTGTATGTAATTTCTCCCTCACCTAGGAGAAAACTTCTGCATTAACTCATCCTGTTCAACGTGCTCTGAGCCAATCAGAAGACTGACAGGATTGTTCCGTTTGACTGAACTTTGAAAGACACGGCCAGAGGGGGAACATGTGATGAGATGTCATAGGAGGGATCTCAGGAAGTGCCTGACTGGGAGTAACTACATTGTTCCGTTTGACTGAACTTTGAAAGACACGGCCAGAGGGGAACATGTGATGAGATGTCATAGGAGGGATCTCAGGAAGTGCCTGACTGGGAGTAACTAGAAATTTCTCACCGTTTGGGTGGCAGCTCTATGCTCTTAAAGTGCTCCCAAGTAGCTTGGGCATGCAGCTCCAGTCCTAGTTAGCTTTGGTACTGAGCAACCCCATCTCCTGCAGCTCAATTTTGTGTCCAAATACCAGACTTTAAAATCAAAATCTTTCTAAATTATTATTTGTGTCTTTGGGAAAGACTTTGGTGTCTTTGTTTACATCTTAGAGCTGGAAAGAAAACCAATGACCAGCTCATCCACTTCTCTAACTTAATAGGCAAGAAAAATGATGTCAAGAGAATCATGACTTCTCTAAGGTCACGCAGAACTGAGATGGGAAATCTGATTCCAGTCCTGTGGTTGTTCCAGCATTCTTAAGCATCTCAGTATTTCCATTCTATTCTTACACAAATGGTTCCACTTCAGAATTTTCCCTTCTTCCCCTCCCTTCTCCATCTCTAAAATCCATCATTGGCAGAGCCCTGGATTTCCTGGGGTTTAAAAAGCTGTATTTCACGTAAGCAAAACCATACCAGGAAATACGAAATATTTCTCAGATTACATCTTTGGATTAGAAGGTGGGGCAATGCTGTGGGGCTTTTGACTTGCCAAGTGTCCTGAAACCCCTCAAGTCAGACTAATTGCTTTAGTTGATTTTCTTTCCTATACCAATTTGACAAAAGACTCTAGTACCTGTCCAGGGTTTGGCCTGGTAGATTGAAGACAAGACCAGGAGTTAGCTCGACACTATAGCTTCTGATCATTCAAGACATGGGTTCTGAGCTGTGGCAGGAGAAACCTCAGAGTACAGATGCGTTTCTGTGTTTTTCCTGAATAGTGTGATGAAAAACTTTAGGCAAAAGGGACAAGAGAGTGGGGACAAAGTCCAAGCCCATTTTTGATTTGAAAAAAATAAAAGTAAGGTCTAAGTGTGCAGCAATGTGAAGCCTTGACCCAGTTTTCTGCTTGGATTTCTAGTAATGGAGAAAACTTGAATTTTAAATTCTTTCTTTCTCCCTCTCTCTCTCCTGTCTCTGTTTCCCTCCCTCCCTCTCTTCCTTTTTACAACGAATCCCTTAGCAACAATAAGCTGTTTTCAAAAGAATGCTGAATTATACTTGGTGTCTAGGAAAATTTCCACAAGTATTTTGCATGATATAATTAAAAGGCAAGTTGCCAATTTAGATGAGAGTCCAAATTTTATGAGCAACTCTAACTCTTATGCCAAATCAACTTCCACTAGATCTCTAGCTCCTTGAGAAAGTTATCTTTGTATACATAAACGTTTAACTTAGTGCCATATATGAGCATATTTAGTACCCATTAAATGCTCATTAAATATTGGTTCAAAGAGTGGGATGATTATTTTAAATTTTGAAATAGAATGTGTGAAACAGAACTCATGTTAAATACTAATGAAAAAGAAGTTAAAGTTGTTTCAAGATGCAGATAATTAATAAAAATGTATTGGACTTACAGTTAATAACAATGTATCATATTCTTGAAAACTGCTAAGAGAGTAGATTTCAAGTGTTCTCACCACAAAAAAATGTAAGGTAATGCGTATGTTAATTAGCTTGATTTTGCCATTCTACAATGTGTACATATTTCAAAGTAACATGTTTGTATTAGTCCATTTTTGTGTTGCTATAACAGAATACTTGAAACTAGGTTATTTATTTATTTATTTATTTATTTATNCCATTAAATGCTCATTAAATATTGGTTCAAAGAGTGGGATGATTATTTTAAATTTTGAAATAGAATGTGTGAAACAGAACTCATGTTAAATACTAATGAAAAAGAAGTTAAAGTTGTTTCAAGATGCAGATAATTAATTAAAATGTATTGGACTTACAGTTAATAACAATGTATCATATTCTTGAAAACTGCTAAGAGAGTAGATTTCAAGTGTTCTCACCACAAAAAAATGTAAGGTAATGCGTATGTTAATTAGCTTGATTTTGCCATTCTACAATGTGTACATATTTCAAAGTAACATGTTTGTATTAGTCCATTTTTGTGTTGCTATAACAGAATACTTGAAACTAGGTTATTTATTTATTTATTTATTTATTTATTTTGTCTTTTTTCGTGACCGGTAAGGGGATAACAACCCTTGGTGCAGTGTTGCACCGCGCTCAGCCAGTGAGCGCACCGGCCATTCCTATATAGGATCTGAACCCGTGGCGGGAGTGTCGCTGCGCTCCCAGCACCGCACTCTCCCGAGTACGCCACGGGGCCGCCCGAAACTAGGTTATTTATAAAGGAAAGAGATCTATTTGGCTCACTATTCTGGGGAGCTGCATCTGGCCAGGCCCCAGGCTGCTTCCAGTCATTGCAGAAGGCGGTGGGGCAGCTGCTGGGTGCAAGATCACATGGTGAGAGAGGAAGCAAGAGAGAGAGGAGAGGTACTGGGTCCCTCTTAACAACCAGCTCTCATAAGAACCTATCCATTCCTACAAGAGCTTACTCACCACCCCCCAGGGAGGGCATTCATCTCTTCATGAGGGATTTGCCCCCATGACCCAAACACCTCCCAACACTGCCACATTGGGGATCAGATTTCAACATGAGCTTTGGGAGGACAAACATATCCAAACTATATCACTGTTGTACATTGATAAATATGCATAATTTTTTTGTTTATTTAAGTAAATAAGTGTGTTGGACGAAAGAATACTTTATTTTCTTAATTTCCTAAGGCAATTTAAGTATGTTATTGCTGTATGAAAAACTAGCATTACAATTCAGAGTTTCTAAGAACTCATAAACCAGATTTTAACCCAGTATCATGAATATAATTAGTGCTTAATAACTATATTTGAAGTTGATAATTGTAATTTGAGGGTCACCTACTCAATCTAGCTACATCTGAGGCTATTGGTAGTTGAGAAAAAGGAAAGTCCTCCACGTCTATTTCTCTTTTTTTTTTTTTTGTCTTTTTTTCATGTCCGGCAACGGATCGCAACCCTCGGTGTTGCGACCGCATCTCGCTCAGCCAGTGAGCAGAAACCGGTCTGTATGTGGGATCCGAACCCTCGGTGGGAGCGCCGCCGCACTCCCAAGCGGTGCACTGTAGCAGTGCGCCACAGGGCCGGCCCCTCCACATCTATTTCTGAAGGAGTTTCTTCCTTTGCTGTTAGAAGTAGCAGCAGGAATGCATTTTTGAGAAATACTACTCCATTCTTCACCCCCACAGGCCTTTCCAAAAAATGTTTTTCTACTGACTTCCTTGTTGCCTTTTTGTTTGATCATGGACTCATCTTAGCTCCTCCCTGACCCCTATGCCATTGATATCCCCACCCCACACCATCTTTTCTGATGTTTCCGTGGGTTGATTGGAGTTAAACTTACCTAAGGGCCAAGGAAGAGGAAATGAACAAATCTTAATTGCTCACAAGAACCTTTTTCTGATGCTTCTCTTTCTATCTTTTTAAAGCCTCCACAAACTGGAGGACTGCCCCCAGACTGCAGCAAGTGTTGTCATGGAGACTACAGCTTCCGAGGCTACCAAGGGCCCCCCGGGCCTCCAGGCCCTCCTGGCATTCCAGGTAAGGACGAGTGAGCAGAGTTGCTGTTCTAACTGTAGACAGTGCCAAACAGGAGCCAAGGGCAAACCTAAATAATTTGGGATCACTCATGTGTGATCCAAAGGATATGCATGGAAAACCCAAAAGAAGGAAAGTTGGGTGGGGTGCTGGGTTTATTAAGCCAGTTTAGGTGGAACAATATAAACTCTATAGTGTTTATTCTCAACACAACTTCAGAATCCAATAGACTCTAGGCACCTGAGGTACCAGATTCATAGTCTGCGAGGCTCTTCACCAGCACTGAGGATAAAACTACTAGATCTTGACTGGGACATCCTCTTAGTTCCAGTATTTCTGCCACAGCATTCTTTATGCAGTATACTAAATCTAACTTTCAGGGATTTGTGGATTGGGGGCCGGGTGGAGAAGACAGTTTACTGGTCTGGGTTATAGTCCTCCCATTCACTGAGATGTCCATGCTCTGTGTGATTCTAGGTTCTGCCAAGTTTTTCTCCACTACCACTACCACCACTCCCCTCAAAACCCACACCCATCTCAGGATCTCCGCATGTTCAGCTGTTTCTCAGTGGACTTTCATGCCTCTCTTGGGCACATGAAACATTTTTAAGCTCCAGCGCCACATATGGCATGGGGAATGCTCTGGAGCTACTTCAGGCCCCTGCACACCCATGGCTCAGAAGTCTGTGCACTGGGACTCCCAGGCTCAGGAGAGTTCCAGGAGCTTGCTAGTACCCTGGTTCACCCAAGGAAAGGGCAGCCCAGGTCCCCCCATCCTAGGACTCTCAAAACTATGTGGGGTCTTATTATCTTCCTCTTTGTCAGGGGAAGGAAACTCCCTGGGGGTAGGATCTCTTTTCAGGGTTAGTTCAAAGTCCACTTGCTCTTTTTTGACTTACCCCCATTGATGTTAATATTTATCAAATGTGGTTTAATTTTTTAAAAAACTTTTGAATGGCTTCTCACATGAAATCAAGTTTAAAATTAGAAAACCCTCTTTTGGACTTTAAACTATGATTACCGGCTTGGAACCTATGACATTGCCCATCAAAGGCAGCAGCCAGCAGACGCAGTGATATGGGTTAGGGGTATTCAAAGCCTTCTGAAATCTGCTCAGGTCTAGACTATTTGGTTGTTGCAGGACAGTCTGGCCTTGGCTACATGTTTCCATCAGGAACGGCTTTGTCACTGAACACATTAACCTGAAAACAGTCAAAGTTCATCCATCTGGGAGGATTGCAAGCCTGGTATAATACCTGATCAAAAGTAGTATGCGAAATAAGCAGCAAAAGAGCCTGAATTTCAGCAAATATAAAAATTAGAAGAGCTGTAGAAATTGTCTCTTAGTAGCAAAGTGAAGAGTTGAAACTGTTACTCAACTCTTGCTTTCAAAATTATTTTTATGACTTTATTTTATGTGTTATATTTTTTTGGTGGCTGGCTGGTATGGGGATCCAAACCCTTGACTTCGGTGTTATAACACGGTGCTCTAACAGACTGAGCTGTTATGATTTTTTAATCAATGAGTTTACTTCTCCTTCAGTTATAAAGGTGATATGTGTCCTTTGTAGAAAACTTTAAAGAGACAGAAAAGTATATAGAATGACACAAAAATCACTTATGTTTCATCCATTCAGGAAAAAAATCACTGTAAACATTTTGATGTAATTTATTCTAGTCTTTCCCCCAAGAAATATAATATATACATATATATTTTCACAAACAAAAATAGTATTATGCTGTCCCTATTTATTCATAACTTTTTAATCTGAAAATATGAATATCACTGTCATTAAATATTTTCCTTCAGC